TTTGATTTTTGATGTGTTCCGTTTTACATCTGTTTATCGATTTGACATTTGAAGATTTAACAGATGTTCAATTGAAAATGTTAGTTTCAATATGATGTGTAACGGTTATTTAAATTCTGCATTATTGGAATATGACAAAAATACCGTTATTTATCGCAACCCGTTTAATTTAGTGTGAATTTGTTACTTGTTCAAAAAAAAATTCGAGTTAGTAAAACTTTTTAATACCAAGGAGAACGGACCCATTTCGATGAAAGTTATTGAACATCTACAGGAGTGGGGACTATACCTCCGGCTGGTGTCCTGAAGTGTCCGAAGGGACATACTTTTCAGTTGAGGCCGTACGATAATTGCGATGGATGGCTATGGAGGTAAGTTGTTTGTAGAGAAATTGATTGAATTTAAATAATTGTTTTTTTTTTTTTTAGATGTGAGAAACGTTTTCGGGGCCGCCGGAATAGCAAGTGTAATTTCGAGCGTTCCTTTCGAAAAAGAACGTTCTTCGAAAATTCGCACTTGTTCATCTACCACATCCTCGTATTTGCCTTCATGAGCAAACAAACTGCAGTGGACTGGAACAACTTCTGTCGTGAAGTAGTTGTTTTCAGTAGTTTCCAGACATGCCTGCCGATTGGCGGCCCTGGAATAACCGTTGAAATAGACGAATCGAAGATTGGCCGTCGGAAATAAAACCGAGGAATGGGTGTTTGGTGGGGTAGAAAGGGGCAGCAACACCTGTTTTATTGTTCCTGTGGGGGAAAGAGGTCGGGATATCCTTATTCCAATCATTAAAAAGTATATTCAGCCTGGATCTATCATAGTGTCCGATTGTTGGAAGGTGAGTGTTTGAAGATAAATGAAAAGTTATTATTAAAATTATTTTTATTTTTTAGGCTTATGATAATTAGTCGGAGGAGGGCTATACACATTTCCGAGTAAACCATAGCCTAGATTTTATTGACCCCGAATCGGGACAACATACTAATACTATTGAGGGGCTATGGCGCCATCTCAAGGGATCACTTTCTAAATATAACCGTCGAAAAATATTTTTCATCGGTTATATTCAGAAATTTATCTTCTTAAGATGGTTCCAAGCAAATCAGAAAAAAACATTTCCTTGAATTCCTTTGTTTCGCTGGTCAGCTGTATGACCCAACAAAGTATTAAGCTGAGAACCCGATAGAGTTGGAGGTAAGTTGTCCCGAAGTTTATAGCGAAGAAGATGAAGAAGCTCCTCAGCTCAAGATGCGCAGAAATGTTTATGTAGTTTTAATTGGTTTTTAATTTTGTTTTTTTTTATATGTATATATGAATACTAATAATACTAATAGCACTAATAATTCATGGTAAAAAGTTTTTTTTTTTAATTCCTTTGAGATTGTGTAATTGTGATTCTGCCTTGTGGCTTTTAATTGAGTAGACCCCATCCTATATAATTAAATATTGTAAGATACTCTCTATTTTTTAAACCAGAATTAATAATACTCCCTGTAGCATTTATTTGAGTAGACCCCATCCTGTTTAATTATTAGTCTTTTCCCGTACTGCAAAAATGTACTCGATTTTACTATTTTATTCGATATCATAAAGGAAAATTCGTTATCGTAGTAAAAAGAAGTAGATTCTTGCAGTACGGGAATAGACCATATATTTATGTTTATATTTTTTTCTATCTTTTAATTAATATTGTAAAATGAATTTTAATATTACAGATACTTGAGTAGATCCCACTCTTCTTGTGATAACAGTTATATAAATTAGAAATTATTGTTAATTTATTTTATTGTAATTATAAGTACTATTTTAATAACCACGATAACATGATAGAGTAACTTTTTTATTATTTTAATATATTAAGCTATTTCCGCCCGATCTTCGAGTACAATCTTAGTTGCAGTTGAATTTTTGTTTGGCTTTCTGTGAATAATTACTACTTTTACTAGTATTGCTTGTGAAGTTAGTGAAATGCACATGTATTTTTCTTGGCCCGCAATTGTTATTGTGATTGTTAAGACGTTCTTGTTTTATTTTATAGTCGAGGGTTTTCGCATTATTGTTTATAATAAGTGTAATTATGAGTTTTTGTAGACTGGACATTTCTTAAATGTGGTCTGCGGACTGAAATTATTGTGAATAAATAGATAAATTAATTATGCGAGCAATTTTCTGAATATCACACACTTAAAACTTAAATTTTTTAGTAATTAACGTTTATTTTTAAATAAAATTCAACATTAAGCTAAGTGAAGTGTAGAACAAGATACAACAATAAAATAAAATAATTTATAGAAATTCACTGAACTGTTATACCTAGTTGTTTTTAGATGTGCTTTTGTTGTTTCTGGTGTTCTTTTAAAAAGACGGCGGCCCTAAGTGAGCTAAATAGCGTTATTACCGAATTAGAAAATTACAGCTGTTTTAAGTGACAACTTTTTAAATATCACTGCGGTAGTACATCCAGCATAATTGTCATTTTATGTAATGAAACTTAAAAAGGCACGCTTGAAATCCTTGTATGTGGTACACCGTAAAAGTTGAATTCGACTTTTGATCATGAAGGAAATCGTAAAGTTTTATCATCGCTTTCGATTCTATTTATAAATGTTCGATTTATTATCACGAGAAGTGTATGGTACCAAAAACAACATATTCATAAATTTGCTTTGCTCGGTTGGCAATAATTCTCAAAAAACCAGTAAGGAAAGCAGTAAAGTCGGACGGGGCCGACTATATGATATCCTTCACCACTTTGGGTATATTCAACAGATGGAATCTCAACAGACGTCGCATTTTTGAAGTGCCATTAACATGAAATTAAACATTTCATTCTGAAACCTATACTAAATTTTGGTCAGATATAGAGTTGCTTCTTACAATGGGACAAAATTATGTAAATAAATTTAAAGCAAAATATCGAAATCTAAACCGATTTCATCGAAACTTGTCACAGTATGTTTTTTGCATTGGGCCACATTTTTTCATTTACTTATAAATCCAAATTTCGTGCAAATCGAAGGACATATTTACTTACCGATTTTCACGAAATTTAACACACATCGTTCTAGACTTAATTCTGAATGCTATGCCAAATTTCGTGCAAATCGAAGGATATATAGGGACTTTGGTGCACCATTTACATAAAATCGGACGAAAAAATATATGGGATGCTATATCTAAATCTGAACCGATTTTTCCCAATTTCAATAGGGTTCGTCCTTGGGCCAAATAAGTGAACTGTGCCAAATTTCATCCAATGAAGGGTATAAAAACATGATCGATTCTACCATGTATTAATTTATGCCATGTTCTGACGGACATTCGAACAACGTAGTTCGCTCTCAGAATTACGTACATGAATTAACCCGTTCATACAACACTATTCTTAATTCATGTCATCAGAGTTTTTTATTTCAAACTTTTTGTTTCTAGTTTTACACCAAAATTGTAACATATTTGCGTGAATCATATATGGATCTAAATAGAAAAAAATAATTCTCTTTCTCCTGACTATAGTATGAACCCATATCTATTTACTTTTAATTCATGTTTTCTATTTTTTCAGAAAGTATTGTTGTTTTGAGTATATTTTCATTTTTTCTCAATTCAAATGTCACATAAAAAAATTGGACAATTTTTTGTTTGGGTTTCCCCACGTTGGTTTCTCGTTTTGTACGCTAATTAGAACCAAAGGGAAAGAAATACATATTGCATTATGTAGATTACCAAATTTACTTCCTTCTGCATATATAAAAACTCTAAAATTTTTTACCTTTCATTCATCATTTTTAATTTTACTGAAAAAGTATGAAAATTTTACAAATATTTTCAAGCTGTCAAAATTAATTTATTTTCGATAAATTCTCTCAATTGTTAGGGATGGGACAAATTTCTTGGTTATTCGGAGAGTGATTCAAATTGAACAACGTACAAAAGTCGGTGTTCGCTCAGACAATTTTGTATAGGGAACTAAGTAATTACTTCATAATTAAGGATCGAACAACGAATGAGAGAGCGAACGACGCCCGTCTGTACATGGAATTAGTCAATCTTGTGACGATTGGTCATTCATCGCGTTTTGTTTTATCGATACTACAACAACCGCAGGGGACGATAACATCAAAGTTTGAAGGTGATGTGTGTTGCACTTCGGAGTTAAGCGCTAGCACTTTTAAATGACACTGTTGTATAACTTTAGCTTTTGTTGGTAAAGTGGCCTCTGATGTTCGTCATTCAACAGGGAACCCCGAAAATATTCATGGTTGTTAGATAGTCAGCAATCCATAAAAGAACTGACAGTCAAAAGTAATAATGTGTGCTCCGCGTTCTGCAGGTAAACAGAAGTGATGATTTTTAATTTCAACTACAGTTGGTCTTAATGGGTTAATTTTACAGAATTTTGTCCCAAAATAAAATGACAAAATGCAGTGTTCCACCTACATTTTATAGTTAACGTTAAGTTTGGTTTGTGGCTATGCTATTAGTTATCAACGACACAATGCATACAAATATGGGACCTTTGATGTCTAAATTTAACAGTAGATGTCTCTTGTCTGTGTAAACAGACAACATGTAGTAAGATTTTACAAAAAATTACGCAATTTCAAAATTATTAAAGAATAAAATAAAGATTTTTTTGATTTTGGTCAAAATTTAAAATTAACATCTGATTGAAATATATCGAACTGTGCTGGATAAATCTTACTAGAATAAATTTACCCAGTAACATTCAGTAATTTCTCTGCATAGAACTGTCAAATTAGATCTCTCATTTCACTCCCTTTTACTGAACTTTGGAGTAAACTGGCAACATCCCGTAATATTTGGCAACAATTGTTTCAAAAATTATATTTAAAAAATAAAATTTAATCGATTAAATACAATAACAAATATTTTATTAAATTATAAATTATATAAACAAATTAATAACAATAACAAAAATGTTGAAAAGCTTAGCTCTTTTTCCATTCAGGTGGTGCCGTTGATGACGGGCATTTCAATTAATTGAAAATGTTTGATGGTAATGGTCGGCTGGAACGACCACTGTTTTTCGACGTGCCAAATATACTTGGCGTTAATGGGCGACTGAAACGGTTCGGTTGTTGCTGTTGTTGTGATGGAATACGTCTAGGACGGAAGGCTGCTGGACGTTCCACACGTGGCAATGTGAACGATGTTTGTGGAAAAAGTTTTTGAGCTTGGAATGGCTTTGGCCTAAAGTTGATAATGCGTTCGGGACGAGGAACAGTGAGATGAGATACAGGTCTCAATGGAGCATTAACGATGGCAGCGGATGGTTTAAAAGCACTGTCAATGGGACGGAAGCTCACGACCCTGCCGGGACTTGGTGGCACAAATTGGGAGGAAATTTGCAATGGAGCATTGATAACTGCAGCTGATTGCGGCTTGAAGCTAGCCTGATTTGGGCGGAAACTTACTGCCTTACCGGGACGGGGTGGAACAAATTGTGATGAAATTTGTAATGGCGAATTGACTGAATTGACAATTGGTGCAAATTCTTCGGCGCTGGTGGTGGGAGGACCATAAGTTAAATCGGGTGGTCCATAGGTTTGTTCGGGTGGTCCGTAAGTTACATCAGGTGGGCCATATACTTCTGGTGGCGGTGGTCCATAGGTTTCTGCGGGTGTACCATATGTTGTTGCAGGTTCAGGTGGTCCATAGGTTATTTCGGGTGGGCCATACACGTCATCGGGGGGTCCATAGATCAACTCTGGCTCTGGTGGCAAATAGGTTATTTCAGGCTCTTCTTCTACAAATGGTGGATCAGGTTTTAATCCAGCTGGAGGATAGGGTGCCACCTGTTGTTTAGTAGGCTTTGCTGCACTGACAATCTTACTGGAGCTGGGGCCTGGGAAGCGTATCCGTAATTTGTGCACAACTGGCTCAGCTAATGAAGATGCGACTATTGCCGTCAACAACACAATACACAATTGAAATTTGGCGGCCATTTTCACGTCCTAAAGAGATTCCGATTCGTTGTAATAATGTCGAAGAAGACCAACACTGTTCAGTTATTCCGTTCGATTGCAATGTTGGGTGTCAACTGTTGCGCTGGTCAATTTGGTAACGCATTAAATACAAAACATTTAATTAAATATTCATTTTGGTTTTCTGCACTGGCCCTCTAACCTTCAAATGAGGCGGGCGGTTAGTTGGTCACAAAAAATGTCGTTGTGTTTTTGGTCAACCTAACCATTTTTAAATAACATTTTATTTTTGATTGTAGTTATTTTTGTTTTAAGAATTTCCAATAGCCATTGTCTGTTAAAGGGGGGAGGTGTGTGTGTGTGAGTGTTTGTGTTGTTTACACACACTTCAATTGTAAGCGTTAATGTTGTGACAAATTTGTTCCCCCATAACATTCAATTGAACATTCATCAATTTGGTTATTTTCAATCATAGGTTTTGCCACTAAAATCTGACTCATGGGAAAATACAGAATTCTATGAGGGAGTTCTTCTAAAATGTAGATTAATAGATTTTTGTTTTAATATGACTCACAAGAATTGCATGATTTGATATGCTATGTTAATACAAGTATTTATGATAGTGTGAGCTCCGCAGAAGCGTGGTTAGCACGTTGATAGATTGATAAACACTTAAAAGTTTGAAGTTGTGGAAACAGAAATAGAAATTATCAATGTGTCGTATACTTACTGACGAATTTGACATAACGAATACTAAATTTTATATGTTACCAAGCTCTCAGAATTTACCCCAACAAATCCATGACCTTTTTTAGAATCGTCCGTATTAATCTTATACCAATTAGTCGGTTTTGAGAAAATACCCTCAACAACCCAAATATCAAGGTATTTCCTTTCAGTATGAAAAAGCTGCCCAGGCAGCTGACGACAAGTCAGTCGTCAAGCAACTAAGGCTTATTGATAAGTTGACGTAAGGGAATTCCTTCTTAGTATCTTCGAAATGCCTGTGGCTTTATAAGTGGTAAACAATGCGTCATTGGCATTATTCCTACTTTATTCTTATCGCAGATAGTTGCATATTGTGATTTTTTTCTTCCACTTACTTGAGAAGTGAGAACTCAGGTCAGATTGTTTTTGAAATCCTACATCCAGGTTCTGCTGACCATCTGTTGCCAGCTTTCTCTCAGTAGCTCATTCGAATTTGGCCAATGATATAGCCAATAATAGGCTGTACAGATCTCTCAATTGGTAGATTGGACGACTGCGAACCCCCGGATATCCCATTCCCATTTACATTCTGGAATCCAACATATTTAAACTTTCTGTCATATATTAAGCAATCTTTGCAATCACTAACCGCTTTTGAATTTATAATACACGATATAAGAGCCGACTGACTGTCGACTTATATAGTCATGGCTTTTACATTATCAGCAGAAAGTGTTTTGACTATTTCAGCCGCTTTCTAATTGCTAGGACTTTTGCCTGAAAGCTGTGCAGAGATCGTTAAGTTTATAATTCCTTGCAGTAAGCACTGCATCAGTGACTTCCTCTTTCTTCGACTAGTCAGTATATATCGACGCTGATCGCTGTACGCTACTCATGTTGTTGACCCCCTGCCACCATACAAGGCAACCATATGTAAGTATAGAGAGTACAATCGTTTCATACACCAGCGTATGATCTCGGGTTTTAGTCCCCAACTTTTACCCATAGAGTTCGTATTAAAACTTTCCTTTTGCGTTCCTCAACATTGCTTTTTCACGTTAGCCAGTGGTCGAAGATGGTACCTTGGAATTTTGCTTCTATAAAAAGGATTATGGTTAGTCCACCCAGAGACGGAAGTTTGGGATCTAACGTGAGGTTTACCCCAAGACCATAGGCCTACAGTTGGACAGAGTTGATAAGGCAACATGCATTGTATCAGAAATAGTCGACAGAATTTCCCCGCTGATTAACTAGACTACATCATCGGCATAGGTTACACCTTTATCCTAAGATCAGCGAGTTTCCTCAGTATCTCATTTATCACCAGAAGCCAAAGTAGACTGGACAGATTTTCTCTCGGACGAATTGATAATTGATGGACGAATTGATAATTCTGCTTTCCAGCATTCTTTCAATCCAATCCATCTTATCGGATTGGATTGTATACTGGAGATTGCTGGAGAGGAGGCACCTGAACATTCGAGGGCAGAATGTATATCTTCCAGCTTCACATTATTGAAGGTGATCTCCATATTCTTCTCAATGTGTACGACCACAGATTTGTCCTTGATGTAGGCCTATAACTTCTTACAATTTCAAGTGAAAATCTCAATTACTCTTAAAAATATATGATGGCAGCATCATGCGACGACATGAGTGATTCTCAAACTTTTAACGCGTTTTTCTCGAAACAGTGTTTTTACGAATGGTGTGCAAGATAATTGAAAAGCGATTTATCGGTTCCAAATTCTAACACATTATCCTGGACTTACATAGCTATCGTATGAGTTAGGATAAATGTAATCGATCATGTAATCGGTCAGATTCGGATGTTCCAGAGATCGGCAATCATGCCCGAATGAATGACTTTTCTTTAATTACAAAAAACAACAATACAACAACCACAACATGTTGTCAATTAATTTTCTTCTTCGTTAAATCTTCGAATACATGCATGTAAAGTTAAGAGTCTATAAATTTGAAATCGAAAATGGGGTCTCCTTATAATAATATTATAAATAATATTATTTTTAGAAAAAATTATTTGTTATGTAATCAGTATTTACTTCAGATTGACGCATAGACATAAGAGCTAATGAAGAACAGTGGGGGATAGATACGTTTTTACTCGACGTAAGGTAGAATAACTTCATCCAGCTGATGCTGTGGTTACCATTATCGTTATTAAGATTTGTAACAATCTATTTATATTTGTAAATAGATTTTCGTCACATACTACAGTCGAGTATGCTTATAACGAACACCGGTTATAACGATCTTTTCTTATAGCGAACACATTTCCCGGTCCCGAAGTTTTAGGACATATTTTTCATATAAATCTTTACTCTTATAGCGAACTACGGATATAACGAACGATTTATTCGGTCCCAGCATTTCGTTTTCATATATTTTTATTTGGTTATAACGAACTTGTTACAAATATACCTAATACTGACGACGGCAATCCTCACAGAAGTCAATTTTTACTCTAACACTGGGTACCTTTACAAAAAAAAATGTCAGCTGTAATGTGAGATTCATTAAAGAAAAGTAGAAGCATCTTAAGAATTGTTTAAAAGGCCACAGAACCTATCATTTTCTAACTGAATATATATTGTTTCTTAATATACATATATGTTTTGCCTTACCTTGGATATAACGAACGTCTTCTATAACGAACTAATTTGCTTGGTCCCTACGAGTTCGCTATAACCGTAATCGACTGTACAATCGCATCAAGTGGATTAGGTCGGGGATCTTTAGCTTTCCATAAGGCGATTCACAGATCCACCATTTAAACAAATGTCATAAAATTGTATGTATGATACGAATTGCACGACATTTCATAATATGACAATCAGAAATCTGATTGTCATATTTACAATTAGTTTGTCCAAATATGAGACATTTGATCTGTACTTTTGCGTACCAACCCTTCTTAGCTCTGAAATTTCTACCACAAATTTGTAGCCAAAAATTTTGTTTCCATGTATATTTTGTGGAACTCCTTGTCACTATTTATTTTATTTATTACGTATTCATTATCAATAAATCCAAATTAAGTTTTAATAATTCCCCTACTTTTTCCAATGATTCTACTATCTCTCCTATAGATTCGTTAAATATTTGTACGCAATCATGCCGCTCGACCCTTCGTGTTTCACAATATGAATGTTGATCTTTTGAAGATGTATTGGCTTTTCGAAAGTAGCAGACCTTTTTTTGAGCTATTCGAATAAATGAACAAATTTCCGAAATTATAGAAAATATACTTCGTATTTATCGAATCTTCAAAACTGAATTTTTCCTTTTTAATTCAGAGTGAGGAGTCAATGCATTTAAATACAGCTTTTTCTTTATTGAACAATGTCAAAAAATATAGATTTCATTCCTTATCACAGTCAGAAAACTCCATTGAAGTTGAACCAGATTAATGGACAAATCCCGCCTTTTAAATTAGTTGCAGTTTGTCATTTAACTGCTCAGCATTCAGGATATAACGGATCATAAAATTAATTTTAAACACTTGCCAAATATTTGAAGTATATAATAAAAAAATTTTTAAATATTTGCTAATTTGAGATCCCGACTATAAGACCATGTCACGCCGACAATTGGGAGACAAACAATTTTCGAACAAGAATTACTTTATTTCATTGGGATTGAAAAAAAAACATTTGTACACCCAATCATTTAAATGCAGAATACTGCTGTATTTACCATACATGTTGTCAAAAATTACTGAAATATTTCTTAGAAAAATTGGAGAATTCGAATGGAATTAAAATTCTTCTGTTGTAAAACTAAACCTATTTAGAGAAAAAATTATTTTGGAGGGGGGCCGGGCCGAAAACTGCTGTATTTACCCTATACGTTGTCAAGAATTACAGATTTTTGTATACATTTTCAGAATTCTTATGAAATTAAAAATTTTATGTTTAAAATAAACTTATTTAGGGAAAAAATGAATTCGGAGAAGTTAAAGATTACTGAATTTGTTTAGAAATTTTCAGAATTCTAATAACATTAAACATTTTTGTTTTAAAACTAAATTTATTTAGAAAACAAAATAGTTTCGGTGGCCATGAATGTAGTAATAGAGATGTTCAACAAAATCACAAATATTTTCACCGCATATTTTCAGTCATCGACCGTCCGATAATTTATATTTTGGTAACAAATTTTCTGAATATGATTCGTCTTATTAAAGTAAATATGTTGACAACGTCGTAGAAAAAGTGTTGACAATGCTCCCATACTGCCCCCACATTTTCATCATGGAACTTATGTTAATAAATGGTCTTGGAATATTG